CAAGAAAGAGGGGCAAACACAGGCTTTGTGGTCAAATCTTTGTCTTTCTGTCCATGAGGTAGGGGTCTCTAAGCACTTACTTTTCTCTCTCTGATTCTCAGTCTCCTCATTGCAAAATTGGGTAAATATGAGAAGACTTCAAAAAAAGTTTCTTGAAATAAATAGAACTAAGATATGATGGCATTTTTGGGTAAACTTTCACCTAATTCATAACAGGAAGTTACAAAATACCCATAATAATAATAATGGAATTTTTCCAGGAGCATTTGAAGCTTCCTCATACACCTCACTCATTGCCTCTCTCAAAAGTTTCTTGAAGGCACGGAGGTCACGCTCACAACAGCAGAAAGCCAATAGGGACTAGAGACTGAATGGTGTTATGAGGGTCTGTCTGGCTGTCCCCAGAAAGAGTGAAGTTGGGATTCATCTGGAACACCCCAGTTTCACCAGCACACACCTTTCTTTACCTGATCGCCCCTCAGTTCTTCTCTCCAACAACCTCACCCACACCTGGTTTTGTGCAGCTGTGGCTACGATGCTCACAGGTAATTGTTGTTGTTAAGTGCCTTCGAGTCGGTTCCGACCCATAGCGACCCTGTACAGGGTTTCCGAGGGTGTAAATCCTTACGGGAGTAGAAAGCCTCATCTTTCTCCTGCAGAGCAGCTGGTAGTTTCGAACTGCTGTCCTTAAGGTTCGCAGCCCGATTCGTAACCACTACGCTATATGAGTGTTCACAACATATCACAGACTGAAACAAGCCAACAACCGTGAGGCTGGCATGGTGCCCGCTGGTCAGCAGCGTGTCCTTCTGTTAGGTTGTCATGGTGGGTGCCCACTGCAGGGCAGCATTCACAGTACTCCCCCCACTTCTATGGCACAAACTCCTCCGGGATTAAAGCCGCAGACCCTAAAGTGCTGGTCACAGGCAGCCACTGTTAGCAGGCATGACCCTGGGGGCTGGGGTTGCAGGGCCTTTGTAGGAATAGTTGTTCTCCAAACCACCACAGAGTTATTGAGTCACACAGCTAACCCCTGTTATACACTTGCTGTGTGCACAGCACGGGAAACACAAGGATAAGATAGTCTTGACGGCTGAGAAGACATGGTAGGTACACGGAAACTAGAGCTCAAAGCAGAGGTGAAAAATGGCTGAATGAAGGTGAACTGAAAAGGACTTAAGTTTGGTGAAGCAGAGGGTCAGCAAAATGAAGGGAGCTCTCATGAGATGGACTACTATCACGGCTGCACCAATGGACTCAAACATAGCAGCTGTCGTGAAGGCAGCGCAAGGCCAAGCCAGGCTTCCTTCTGATGTGCATACGGCCCCCACGAGGTGTGCTCATGGTCACCAAGAGTTGGAGGCAACTCGAAGCAGTGTCTCAGTTCTCTCATGCTGCTTCAACAGAAAAACCCACCAGGGGGTAGTTGTCACAAGCAGAAGTTGATTCTTTCACAGTTTAGAAGCTCAAAGTCCACTTTCAGAGCACAGGCTATGGAGAAGGGTCCTGGTCCCCTTTCAGCCTCTGCAGGCCCAGCATGCCTTGCAGATCCCTGTGTACCTCAGCATCAGTCTTTTCTTAGATTGACGAGCTTCATGGTCCAGGAACGCCCGGTCCAAAGGACACACCCACTCCTGCCTCTGCTTACTAAGAGGTAGTAGTTCCCGCTGAAGTTTGCTGGTTTGTTTAACCTCTTTTATTATATCTCAAAACAGACTGACATAAGACACAACCTAATCTAGTAGATTGTATCTGGTCTCATTAACATCACGCTGTGAGATGGAGCACTGGACCGAGAGGTCAGTTTGAGTCACTATGTCAGCGGTTCAATCTCACCAGCCGCTTCTTGCAAACTCTATACAGGCTCACTATGAGTTGGGACTGAGTCTCCCGCCCTTAAAGACAACAGCATTGTTGCTGGTGTCTTCTAGTCAGTTCTCAGTCATAGCAACATTATACACAACAGGGGGAAACAGTGTCTGCTCCGGCGCCTTCCTCACAATTGTCAATGAGCCCATTGTTGTAGCCACTGTGTCAATGCATCTCATTAAGGGCCTTCCTCTTTTTCACTGACCCACCTCGTTACCCAGCATGATATACTTCTCCAGGGACTAGGCCTTCCTCATAACATGTCCAAAATATGTGCGATGAAACCTTGATAGCTTCTCTTTCAAGGCACATTGCGATTGTACTTTTGCTAAGGTAGATGTGCTCATTTCGTGACATTCCATGGGACTTTCAATATTCTTCACCAACAGCCTCATTCATACGCATTGATTCTTCTCAAGTCCTCCGTATCCACTGTCTAGCTTTCCAATGCTTATGAGGTAAATGAAAATACCATGTCTTGGGTCAGGCACCCCTTAGTTCTCAAAGTAATACCTTTGCTCTTGGACATTTTACAGAGGTCTTTTGCAGAAAATTTGCCCAATGCACTACGTTGTTTGATTTTTTGACTGCTGCTTCCATGGGAGTTGATTGTGGATCCAAGTACAATAAAATCCTCGGCAACTTCAGTCTTTCCTGCATGTACTGCTCATTGGTCCTGTTGTGACGAGTTTTGTTTTGTTGGTGTTGAGGTGCATTCCATACTGAAGTACAGCTATTGTTATTGTTGTTAGGTGCTAAGTTCCTTATAACTCTTAGGGACCCTCTATAGGGTTTCCAAGGAGCAGTTGGAGGGCTTGAACTGCTAACCTTGTAGTTCACAGTCCAGTGCTGATCTTACCATGCCACACCAGGAGTCCAGTACCGCTATTGGAGTAGGGTATTTAATTTGCTTTTAGATTAATACAAACTTCATATCCTGATATTAATTCTAAACCTTGAGAAGGGAAAAGATTACTTCTAGGTAAGTGGATCCCTGGTGATGCTGTAGGTAAGCACTCAGTTACTCACCTAAATGTCAGTGCTTTGAACCCACCAGTTGCTCCCAGGGAGGAAGCCATGTCTGCCTGTTTCCCTAAAGACGGTAGTCGTGGAAACCACCTGTCAGGAGAGGTCAACATGAGTTGGAGTCAACTCAGTGACAATGGTTGGCTAAGTGATTGTCCAATGATTGTATAGTTATTACACAACTAAAACTTAATCCAAGTGGTAATTAGCATGTAAATTACCTCCTGAATTTATTATTTCTCCACTCTTCATTTCTGTTCCAAATTTCCATTTTTCTTATCAAGACAAGAAATTTATTTAGAAAGTTGTCTTTCTTGAATGCTATTTTTACTTCCTCTTGGCTCTCAGAAGCTATTTCCGTACTCATGATGGAGTTTTCTTCAATACTGGCCTCCACACTCAAACGGAATCCATTTCAGCTTTATGGACTCTATATCACAAACATATTTCTTTATTCAATTGTCTAAATGATCATAATTCCAGTGACTCTTAATAGTTCCTGTTTTATTGTGGCATAACCAGAAAACCGAACAGTAAGTACACTGTCAGTGCTGCATCAGTAAGCATCTACTTACAGAAGTGTTTTAAATGCAGAGATATTCACTTTGTTGTTGGTGGTCGGTGCTGTCGAGTCAACTCCAATTCAAAAGGACACTATGCACAACACAGGGAACACTGCCCAACTCTACCCATCCTCACAATGATCACACTTGAGCCCACTGTTGCTGCCACTGTGTCAATTCATCTCATTGGGAGGGGGGAGTCTTCCTTTTTTTCCCTTCTGTTGACCCTCCACTTTACCAAGCATGATGTCCTTCTCCAGGGACTGGTCCCACCTGATAACATGTCTGAAGTATGAGAGACAAAGTCTCTCCATCCTGGCTTCTACATTTCTGCAATTTTGCCCAAAGTTTCCATTAAAACAGAATTAAGCATCTTTAGCGGTCATCTATCAAATAATTAATTATGCCTTTCTACACTACACGTATTGATCATTCATTCAGTCATCCTGTGTACACACCTCTACTGGGGCTTATAGCTTTATTAATTGCTTTTATTATAATAAACCAAGGTTCACTTTATCTTATTTTGTTAATTTACTTCAAGCTATAATTTTACAATGTATTGTTAATTGTTTTATGAATAAAACATCCTTTTGCCCAATCACAGGCTCACAGGAAGAGAGAGACCTTGAACAATCCTTTAACCTGCCACCTACTTCCAGGTTGAACTGTCTGTATCCCAAGTATCTAACCCAGGGCCTGTTCAGTCTTCCAGCCGCCAGCCCCAGGCAAGACTTTCTCTGGGTAAACAATAGGGAAGAAAGTGAATTTTGTTCTTCAGAAAATGTACCTACTCATGAACATGAGATGACCAAGCCATGGCTCTACATGC